CTACTAGGGCAGTTCTGCTGGAGATTAATTTTCTCAGCTTTAATCTGCCTGAAAATTTTTCTTTATTTATTTCACCATCAGTTTTGAATGATATATTCACTAGATATTGAATTTTAGTTTGCAGGTTTCATCTCTTCTTTCTGTATTTTAAAGGTGTAATTTATTTGTTTCTTCCTGTGTCTTGGAATTTTTGATTGTATGCCTGATATTTTATATAAAAGTGCAATAGAGAGTGAATAAGTAAAATTTTATCCAAAATGAAAAAAACAAAAACACTACTCCCCTTTCTTTGAGGCTTCTGTAGTAGAGTGGCTAAGTCAATCTGATCTTCAGTGGGGTGGGGCGGGGGGTATGCAGACTTAAAAGGCACTTCAGTTTAATTCAAATGTTTCAAAGCTGGAGATAGGATTTTCTTTTTATCAGGGCTTAAGCTCTGGGCACTGATGAGTTTCCAGAGATCTCTTTCTGCTTTTCAGCTAAGCCACAAGCTTTTCCACTTGTGGGAGATCTGCTTCTGCTTTACAGCCCCACTGTTAACTTTTTGGTCTCTGGCAAATTTTTTAGTAATACTCCTGGTTTTCTGTACCTTGGGAGATTTCTTTGTGCCCTGCTGCATAGACAAAGCCTTGGAAGGGTGGTTGCCTTACACTCTTTGAAGATCCAAAATGCCTCAGAGGATTTTCCCTCCTGTGTCCCTCTCTCACTCCAACTTTTGGTGGCTGAAATGCTGGAATGCCTCAGATAGGTTCCCATCAACTCTTCTGCTCCACCTGAGCCTATAATAGCCAAGATCTCAAGAGTGCTTAGCATGGACTTCTCTCAGCTCTGCTGCCTTGCACCTCACCTAAGATGTGTGAAGCCATCTTAGAATGCTGAGCTGAGGGGCAAACACACAGTTTTTTATGCTAGAGGAATAAACTTGCTTGCATTCTCAATAATAATTACTATAATAATCAGAGCCCTTATTTTTCTTTAATTCCTAGTATGTGCAAAGCACTGTATTAGGTACTTTGTAAACTTTATCTCAGCTAGAACTGAAGTACATAGGGGTTCTTAATCACAGCCAGAATAGGATGAAGCTAGAATTTGAACCCAGGCTCACCAGATGCCCAAATCTGAGGCCTTTCTAATTTATTATATTGTTTCTTCAAAGGGCAAGACAACAAATTTAAAAGAGTAATAACAACTGCCCCAAAACTCATATAAAAATTAATGTGCATATATAATATGAATTGTATTCAAAGTAGAAGTAAGAAAAAACAGAAAAAGGAATGACTTCCTCAAGTTTACATATTAAGAGTAAGACTGAGCACACTTTGATTAATGTATGACTTTGGAAGAATTTAGTTCATCTCTGGGTCCAGTTGGGGCTACTGTGCCTAAAGATAATTCAGAGACAATTCTGGGGATTTAATCATCTGCCCCAGATGATTAAAGAGTTGGAAAATTAGACCGATAAAGAAAGGTCCTTGGATCATTTTCCCTAGGTGGAAAGTTGTAGAGTTGTTAAGTGTCTTCAAGTCTGTGAAGAGCTACTGTGCCAAGTATGGTCAGCTGCTGTTTGTTGGTCTTTGCTGTATGTGTAAGTGTAGTGCCATGGATTCAAGTTTAATTTAGGAAAATAATTCCTGACGGTAGTGATTGTTGGTAAGCTTCTTTGTGAAAGTTAAGGGATCTCCTTCATGAGGATCTTATGAGATGCTTTCAGTGTGAGATGATGGGAGGGAGCAGGGCACACTAGAGGACTTCTCAAGGTCCTTTCTAGCCCTAAGCTTCTATTATTATTGCATATTTATAGAACACCAGAATTGGCTGTGTTCTTTTCAGAGACTAGAATTACATTCAGTTCCTGTCCAGTACTATCACAGTCAAAATTAGACAGATCAGCAATACCTTAGTTGCCAAATGAAGCCAAAGTTTGGTGGGCACATGTCTAACTACCCAAAAGTGTTCTTCAAGAACAGTAGAGAGTGAACTAAGAGCAGTAAAGCATCTTTGGTTAGTGCTAAAACACTCCAATGAGATTTGCATTAGGTTTCTCTAGGCATTGTTGTAAGTAAATAAATACTCATAAATCATTTAGTATTATTTCTTTAGCAATCTACTTTAGAATTTTTGTCCTCCAAACTTTTAATTTATAATAAAATGAAGGAGAAAAAGAATTGCACTTTATTGCCAAACTGTTTTAAGTGGTAGATAATGGTGTTTTCTTTTGAACTGATAACTTTGAACTTCTCTGACCATGGATGATTTAGAATTCATACTAATACCTGAAATAAAAACATAATAAATTATTATTATTATTATTATTTTACGTCTATCTTTTTTTTTTTTAATTTTATTTTGTCGATATACAATGTGGTTGATTATTGTGGCCCATTACCGAAACCTCCCTCCCTCCTCCCTCTCCCCCCTCCCACCCAACAATGTCCTTTCTGTTTGCTTGTCGTATCAACTTCAAGGA